GCACAATAATTCCTTGACTCGACGTACTTGCGGCGAACCCCATGCAGGTCTGAACGCTCCAGGTGGCGTGGATGTGTATTCGTGGGCGTGGGTCCAGTTCTGCAGCTCTCCATGTCGGCTCCCCTGGCTGCACCCCGGCTCTTCCTTCAGGTCCCGGCTTGCGAAGTCCTCAGTGCTGTCGGCGAGCGGAGGTCTGCTTCCTGACGGCAGTTCTGGGCCCCGCTCCAGGTTTCCATCGGAGCCCCGGTGCAAAGTGTGGGAGGAGGGGTCGAGCAAAGACGGCACAAAGGCTGTGGCCACCACATGTCCTCGTCCCGCGGGGGGGGGGTCTGAGCAAGGCAGCAGGGACTCTGGAGACCCTTCAAAGTCGCGTTTCCCAGGCCTTACACTTGGCAAGCTTTTCAAAATGGAAGCCACACAGATAAGTCACGGAAAAAGAGTAGCTGCTCAAAACCTCCCCCACCCCCGTGCACCTTTTTTAACATATGTGTTTAAGAGCTTTTTCCACGCCGATTGGAAGTAATAAGAAAACAGTAGGGTAGTTCAGACTTGACGGATGTCTAGATTTAGCACACTGTGCTTATTCTCTCTGGAGCAGTAATTGTTGGAAAAATCCCCCAGATCTTATATGGACCCTGGAAAGTTCAATGCAGGTGTCATTATTTAAGATAAATATTCCCCAGCAAATGCAATGCAACAGTACATCAGCAGATCATCACTGAATTTAATTCTGAATACTGGGCAGAGGAATTTTCTTTTTTAATTGACACCAGGGCTAAGAAAACCCATCTAAGAAAGCTTCACAGTACTTCAGCAAATGTGATAGGAACTTGGGACGCCAGTCAATAGGTTTAAAAAATATAATTTTACCCATCCATCCGATTCGAACCACTTCCTCCAATTCAAGGTCACAGGGGAGCGCCACAGCCTATCCCAGTAAGCAACGGGTACTAGGCGGGACACATCCTGGACAGGACACACACACTCTCACACAAGAGCCAATTCTGAACATAAGCTAATTAACCTACCAGCATGTCTTTGGACTGTGGGAGGAACCTGGAGCACTGGAAGGAAACCAACATGCACACTCCACACAGATAGCAGCCCAGGTCCAACATTGAACTCCAGCGCTGTGAGGCAGTAACGCTAAACACCCCGTGACCTTGCCACCAACATATGCAAGTATGTGAATTAAAACGTTTGTAAAGACATTGCTACTTAGACCATTCTGCCAATTATGTCGTTTTGTGATACCTTCAGTGCATGACTTCCCAGAGTGACAGTATGTCCAGAGAGCAATCAGGACTATGTGCTGCACTGTTAGGATCGTGTTAGGATTGTGCTGTGAGGAATGTGTTAATGGTCAGGGTGGTCCCAACCTAAATAACTTTCTGCTTCCATTTTGTCAGCGTGATACATTTCTTGCTGAAAACACTGCAAGATTCTTTGATCCGTGTTGGTGTTCAAAGTTTCTGTGATTTCTGTGATTTTGTTTAAAAACCCTTGTTTAAAATATTTAATTAAATCCATTTAATTTGAGTGTTGCATTTCTTTGTTGCATCGTTATACTTTGTTATACAGTATATGTTATAGCCCAGGAAAGTTGGTCTTTGTGTTTATTGGGAAGCCGTACTGTAATCAATGTGTTGCTCAAGAAGAACATATTGCTTAAATTGTTCATATTATACATCAGCCAAAAAACTGCTGACACCAGAACACCCCCCATGAGATGTTAGGCCTGCAGCAGGATAATGCAAATGATGTAAAGTGCTGATACAGAGATGGACTGGCTTGGCTGGAGTTTTCTTACTTTTGCAAGTTCTTGTCTTTAGTAAATATTGAAAAACCACACCAAAACATCATTGAAATGTAAATAAGAAATATTGACATTGAGATGTAAGCAGGGAAATACACCCAGAGCCCCTCATATTGACTTAGTCACTGCCTCTGATTTAAATCTTCAAAATCCCCAAATACAGAAAAAACACTTTTTGGACTTTTTCTGGACTTCTGGACTTTTTCTTTCAAGTAAAGACAGAAAGAGACCCTTGGATTAGCTTTATTAATTATCTGTTTATCAATTTTCTGTTAGTAAACAAATAGCAGGTGCATGGTGTTATACCTCACGATATAGAAAGGGAAAGTAAAGTGGTCATGTTTTTGGAATAATAAAAGATTTGATGATTTAGTTTCGGGGTTTGTTTGATCTTTTTAGGTTCCTCCCTAGTGATCTCTAGCTCGCCATAAATAAAATACATCTAGTAAAACTCTTGGCAAATGTAAGATGCAGAAGCTGGTTCTTATTCAGTTCTCTTCCAGTTTTGTATTTTGAACAGCCCTCTTGGTGTGATGATTTGTGGAATTAGAGAGGAATAAAATAAGTGGCTGGAATATGAGCATTCAATTTTGATTCTGTTTAGAACCATCTTTACTCAGCTGCCAGTGGTCATTTAGCCATTTGATTGGATTAATATCACAGATAAGACAAGTGTGGGAGAAGGACATTAATCCCTCAATCTTAAATGAGATGTGTGTAACCAGGGTTGTTGGGTCTGTTCATTCCATGTCTTGGATCTTGAAATGCAGGTATTGCTGCCTAAGCTTTTTTGTAGATGTATAGATGTCCTCCTGTCATCTATAGTTAATGCTGCAGAGACCTATTGAACAACATCTCTGTTATATCAAGATGCTTCCCAAGCGTAGACTGCCTCAGTTTTTTAGCAGGTTAAGATCTGTCTTGTTGCATGACACTAAATGTGCGGCAGGGGATATTAAGGAGTGTCTTTGCCCCCAGGTTGAAAAGCCTTGTTGTAGCATCACCTTTCCAGGGTAGCCTACGCCTGGCTTAGGTAAAATGACTCCAGTCTCACTGTGTTGACCATTGTTGTGTTTTTTTTAGAATTTGCCTGCTCAATCCAAAACAGAAACCAGTTTGGGTGTGACAGTCTTGCCATCAGATCTATGTTTGAATTCCTGCCTAGATGTAAATTAGGACAGCAACGCCTTCCCTGCCTCATATGTTGCTTTGCAGACCTGTGACTAACCTATCTTTATCCTTGCAGCTGCCCCTTAGTTTGCTTCTTGTGGTAGGATTGCGCACTGTCTTGTGCTTAAGTTATGGCTTTGCTGTTAACCTGAAGACTCCTGCCAGTGAGAGGGGCCCACTGTATGTGTAAACCTGAGGAATTGTCCTACAGCCAAGTCATAATATTTTTGCTCTGCAAGGAGGAGACTGTGAGGGGAAATCACAGCTGGGATGAGAAATACCCATATCTTGAGAATTGCATCCCTTGGCTAAGCCATGAAAGGACTGTAAATATTTACACATACAGACTACGAAACCACTAGATACTACTGGTATTGAATCTCTGGCGGCCTGAACAGTGTATGAATAAAGTGCTGCATAAGGAATATCAAAGAAACATTTAGCAGAACATCAGAAACTTCCTCTGAGTGTCTCATTACTGCAGTCGCGGTGAGGCCAATTAATTTCTTCCAGGTAGCTCTGTTAGGACCTGTCCTGGTAGATGAAGGGGAAGTTTTGCTTTGCTGTGGATCTGCAGTAGGTCTCTTCTGATGTAAACATGCCTTACTTAGCTGCATTTGATCCCACTGACGTGAATCAAAATCATTTCATGCAAAAGAGTTTAAAAACAGTAACAGTCTAGAAAATGAAATGGTGTTCTTGCATCTTGAAAAGGTCAGTGTTTTGCACATCTCTTATTAATTACTACAGGTGGCCTGCTTCATGACATTATCTGACTAGAACCTGCTGAGCCCTTTGGTCTCTTTAGAAAAATGGCGGCACCTTAATGACTTTGAGGAAACGTCTGAATCACAATTAAAATGTTCGAAGGTGATTTTCCGCTGACTTGAAAATCATTTTAATCTGCCTCTTAAAAACAGTGGACAGTGAGTATTCTGGGACCGTGATCAGGCTGGGTGACTGTTGCACCTTATACTTTCTTCCTGGTTATTGGATTGGATTCTCAAACAACTGTTCCAATCCAGTTCTTATTATTTCACAAGGTTGCAGACTTGGTTGCAGGGTTTTTAATTTCTTAATATTTTGCACATGCACATGTGGATCTCCTGCGTACACGACTTGTGTTTCTTGGAGCAAACGGAGTACCTTGCTCAAGGGTATAGCAGCCCTGTTCCTCCTGGGACTTGGCCCCACACCCCTCCGACAGGAGTCCTGAGTCCTAGCCACATCCTCGAACTGAAATGTGCACATGGGATGTTTCTAGTTCCGGCCTCTGTCCTGTTCAATTCACAGGCTTGTGAGGAGGAAACACAGGACATGCAGCACTGGACTTTAGTGTTCCTGCAGATTCCACAGGGAAGTAGTACAGAGTTCACCCGGCCTCGGCGGACACTATAAACAACATTGTCTGCTTTGGGATACTGGTGCGAAGGGAAGTGTATCAAACAATTAAATAAATAATCCGCCATTGATCTTTTTCCCACCCTCTCTTGAGCTGCAGGCGGTAAAATGAAATTGCCTGGGTACGAGGGATTTGAATCAAAGACGCATAGCCATTGAGACATCAGGTTATTAATTCTCTGCATGTCCTGTTAGGTAATTGAGAACGTCTATCACATTAAGGTGAAGCAGAACATATGCACGCTTAATGTCAATCTATAGGGGTCATTCATCTCATTTAATTTTCTCTTAAAAGAAATGAATCCAAAGATGTGTTAGTGTCTTTTGTTGTGTTAAAGTGTTGCCACAATTTTGACTGGATTATTATTGCTTTCCGAATATCCAAATTAGATACGTAAACTTGGTGAAATAACTTCCGCATGTTAAGACGTGCTCGCAAAGTAAAGTTTTGATACGCAGATTGATACGCAGATGAAACTCGGCTTTTTAAGCAGACCACTGTTTTGAGAGGAGTAAACAGTACCTTGGCTCTGTGCTGGTGTGTTGAATTGTGTGTTCTGTGGCCACAGCACTGTTGTTAACTGCACGGCTTCTTTTCCTGTTCCCACTGAAGGAAAGCCAAAGCCCGATGAAAGAACATCACCCACGGATGTGTCATCTAAAAAGAAGTGAAGCAGGCTATGGCTTCAACCTTCACAGTGAAAAGTCCAAGCCTGGACAGTTCATCCGGTCAGTGGACCCTGGGTCACCGGCTGCCAGGGCAGGATTGAGGCCACAGGACCGGCTAATTGAGGTAATGAAAGGGACTAAACATTTGTTTATCTGCTTAAGAACCATCAGACGAGCGCTTTCAAAGAATCACACTTTTCATTTCCTGATGGGCTCGAGGTTATATGAAGAAATACAGCTTTTTAACAGCTTTTTAAAGGGCCTGTGTCTCACCTGCCCTCCTGTTCCGACTTCAGGCTATTCGCTGTTTCTTTGAAATGCCTGCTTGGAGTACTATGCTCTCCATCTGACCCTTCCAAAGACAAAAACAACATGCAGTACCTTCTGCAGGGACTTTTCAGATCTAATTAGGAGGCTGTGAAGTTGTATTACACCAAGATCTCACTTTGAAGCATTTTGCTCTTAAGCCACTGATACACTTGTGTGTGCCTTGCCTGCTAATTCCAGTCAGGGAAATCTTCTAACAGGTTGAACAGCAGAGAATAATACATGAAAACAACATACTGTAATTAAGCCATACAGCTCTGTGTCAGTGACTTAGCACACTTTTTTCAAGGCTAATAATATGTAGAAACCGAAGCAGTAGGTTCCTGGAAAAGAAGCAACTATCCCCCAGCTACACCACATTGAAGATTTTCAGGTTTTAAGCAATACGATCTATTATTTAAATGGCACTCAAGTACAAAATGAGAGAGATATATATCTCCAGAGCCCATTTAGGATATCAACAGCATGATAGTCTGGCTACCTGAGTGCTGCAGAGTTTTTAGAGGCTACGCAAGAGAACCTTCTCCTATGCAGTAAGGAGAATATTTAGATCAAACTGACCATTGTACTCAGGTAAAGAATGAATCGGCACGGTTTTAGAAGTTGGTCACCTACAAGAAAAATGCTGAAGGGAGATATTGGGAAACAAATAACAAAATATCCCCAAGAAAGAATCAAATTTAAACTTGACAAGAATCTCTTACCTAAAGTTCCTGAGGTATTGAAAAAGACTTTTCCCAGTAGGTGTCTGAGATACTTATTGTGAGGCCAAACTCCAGGCTTTAATTCCAGAAATTTGCCTGTGATATCCCATTTGAACATTTCTGGGAGGTCCCTCAATCTGCTGTGTCCAACCGCAACATAGCAAAATAACTCAAACAAAATATAAATGTTGTTCACCATTTGAATTTTGTATTTTTTTGTATTTGCCATGTTATCAGACGTTTTTTCTATGCAGTTTAGGCATACTGTATTAATCTACATAAATTAATCTAAACATGTATTAAATCATTTTCGAGGACAAGACCTCATTCTCCTTTATTTTTCAAAAGAGTCTGTAAACAGTTATGTGTCTAAATAATTAGGTTTGGGCAATCACTTGAATTTGTTAAATTTGCTTAAACTTCAAAACACAAAAATACTGTACCTCAAATATCCTACAAAGAATGAAAATAATTCCAAGCATTTATGACATAGATTAGATCCATGTGGTATTGACGACTGCTTATGATGTTAACTCGGAATTGCGCTGTTAAATTGTTAAAACACGCTTCATTTTCCTTGAATCATTTCCCCGACTCTTGCTCATAATTTCAGGAATTTTTAGCAGCGGTCGAGCCACATGCCCTTTTTTTGTGGCAAGTGTCAGTACTAGAGTCCGTGATTTAACCTGATTGATTATTGGCTTTCCAAACTGGTTGTCTTTCAAAAAACTACGGCTCTAACTAAATGAGTCAAACCATTCTGTAATCAAAATGAAGTCT